CCCACCAGCCACCGCCCACCAGCCACCGGCCACTGGCCACCGGCCCGTCCCTCGCCTCGCCCTTCGCCGCCCCGGCCGCCAGCCCACATCGGCAGCCGCCCTCGGGGCAGGAGCCCGGCCCCGGGCACTCAAGCACGCGCGCGCATGTCCCCCGGCCCCGATCAGGGGGGCGCCAGCCGGCCCAGCTGCGTAGATCGCCCGGGGCCGGGAGGACAGCCACACATACCGACCGGCCGGGCCCGCGCGAATTGTTTGCCCCCACAACACACGCACCGCCCGCGGGCCAGGGGAGAGGGGCCGCAGGCGGCGTGAAAGTCAGCCCGGTCCCGCGTCGGCGCCACATCCCCAGGTGCGGGTGCCGGCATTCGCCGGGCGAACAGCCCGCGCCCGAGCGCGAACACGCCGGCAGGCGCGCCCCGGCCGAGGCGAGGACGGCCGACATGGCCCCGTCGTGCGGGGCCAGCCCGACCATTGGCAGGTGCCCGGCCGGCTTGTCACACCCCCCGACAGCGAGAGGCAGCGGCCGAGGGACCGAGGGAAGGGAGAGCACGGAGACCGGCCGACGGAAGGCGGCACGCGGGCCCCGCGAATGGCGCCCCCGCGCCCCCTCCCGGGGACATGGCGCCCGCACGCCCGGGCGGCCAGGCAGGGCTCGCCTCCGGTGCACCCGGCGCAGACATGCCCCCCTCACGCCAGGGGGGAGGGCGGGGGGGGGGGGAGGGGACCCGGGCTCGGACCGGCGCCACGACCGGCGCAGCCCCGGTGGTATTCTCCTCCGGGGGACGCTTTCGCGCGCCCGCGCACATGCACACCCGGACCGGGGCATGCTCCCGGCCTGATCCCGGCCGCGCCCGGGGCACTTGCGCTCGGGCACTCCACCACCTGGGCATGGGGGCCCCGGGTGGGGGGCCCTCCGCCGGCAGGCGCCTCCCGCGGCCGGGTGCCCCAAGCACGGGGTGCCGATCGCGGGCCATCGCCCTCGCCGGCGGTGCCGCCCACTGGCCCCCGGTCGGGGACAATCCAGCACACCCCCCCTTCGGGGCCCTCCGCCCCCGGCGGGTGCGGCCTTTCCCAGGTCGGACGCACGCCGGCGCGAGTGGCCCTGCCCAGGCAGCACGCCATGCAGCTGCGAGGCATGCACGGCAGCCGGCGGGGCCTCTCGCGGCAATCGGCGCAGGGGTCCCCGCTCTCCGGAGGCATACCTCGCACATATAAACACGTATAACATAACACGGACACACGGACACACGGACACACGGACACACGGACACACGGACACACGGACACA